AAGGGAAGGGAAGGGAAGGGAAGGGAAGGGAAGGGAAGGGAAGGGAAGGGAAAAACTGGACCTCCAACTTACACCATAGATAATAATAAACTCAAAATGGATAAAAGACTTAAATGTAAGTCGTGAAACCATAAAAATCTTAGAAGAAAACATAGGCAGCAAAATCTCAGACATCTCTCGTAACAATATGTTTGCCAGTACATCTCCGGGGGCAAAGGAAACAAAGGAAAAAATAAACAAATGGGACTGCATCAAAATAAAAAGCATCTGCACAGCAAAAGAAACCATCAACACAATGAAAAGGGATCCCACTCCGCTGTATGAGAGAACACATTTATCAATGATACGTCTGATAAGGGGTTAATTTCCAGAATAGATAAAGAATTCAGTCTCTTTTAGCATTCCATCCTAAATTCTAATGGAATGGGTGGCATTTTATCAGGGTTGATGAGAAGGAAACTCTTTTTCAGACATTCCTACTCTTCATTCAGCAGTAATTTATAATCTTGAGAGAGGTGCCTACATTCTTTTGCTAAATCCAGTGTTTCCCTCCCATATTCTTTGTACATTATGAAAGTGGTATCTTGTTTTTACCTGGTACAGAATATTTTCTCCTACACTGATTGATTTCATAATCACATCTTAAATTCATAATCTTTGCCAGGTTGCACTTAATTTTTTAAGTAATTTTTTTTCCTGTCTTATATTCTCGGCAAATCTTAAGATCTAGTTAGAGGGGCTTAGATGAATTTTTCTGTCAACTCCTTTTCAAAAATAAACTTATTTGGCCGATCCTATCATCTCCTTACTCTTACTCTCTAGGGAGTGTTTGATTCTGCCATAGCAGGAAGGAGGCCTCACTCCTCTTCAGGGTTTCTCTCCTCTACTGAGAAATGCTTTGAAAATCCCAACGCTTACCTGATGCCAGGCTATACAGGTGGGTTTGTTCTATGAACAAGAGAATGGAGGAACTGTCTTGTTCCTGATGCCAAATAGGAGTGGTTCCAAGTAGGGATCACACCTCCAGGTCTCTCATTCCCAAAGTGGAGTTGATGAGCGTTAAGCTTAATTAAGGTGGTGGCTTAAAATATCAGTGAATTGTATGCCACATTCCTGGTCAAGTTATCCATCCCCCCTTCAGATTTTTGTGTGTGAGTTTTTTAGCTTGAGCATGGGAGGAGTGGGTCTCCTATCACTGCTTCTAGAGTTAAGTTTCAGCGTTTGTTTGAGAGGTAGTGTAAACAAGTGGTCAAGAGAATGAACAGGTGAGTCAAACAGACCTGTTAGGATCCTCACTCTGACACTTTCTAGCTATTCCAACCTGTATATGTCATGTGACTTCAGTTTATACATGGATAAAGTGGAATTATATTCAGCGGATTTAGTATTTGACTCTGACATTGTGATGGGCACTATTCCACTTCCTGAATATGTATCAGTTGGGAAAAAAAGAAAAAATAATTCTGTCTTTATGGACCCCAGTGTCAAATCTCCCTCATAGAGTGTTGAGGAATTAAATAAAAAATAAAAATTATAAAATTTAGGCACAGTGCCTGGCACTCAGCAGATAAGAGTTGTTATTCAACACCAAGCAGTGTTGATCCTGCCCACACTGTACCCCAGTTTGGCACAGAGCAGGCACTCAGCAAACTTTGACTGAAGAAATTAATTCCTGTATATGTTTTTTCATTTGTGTGCCAGTATTTTAAGCAAAACCTTGGAATAATCATATGCGTTGGTTCCCTGGTTTCCCTTTTTACCTTCAAAAAGCAACAGGACTTTTCTGCCATCCCCTACAGGCACCGTTGACAGACATCACATACTTGCCAAGAACTTTCAGCTTCTGTTGCTTGATTTTCAGCACAGGTTGGAGGATGCAGGACTTCTAACCTGATATTTCCCTCAAACAGCTGGGTTTCAGCCATTGCTCAGTCCTTTGACTTGGTATTTGAGGAATGTGACCTGGTGAGGCTCAGATGCTAATGAGTGTCATCCATTTACATTCTCAAACAATAGATGCAATTCTGGAAAGCTAGCTAAGGATAAAGAGTAGTAACATTTTCTTATGTTAGTAAATGAGAGACTGCATGTAAAACAGTTAGTACAGCACCTGTAGTAGACTGGTAACTATTATTTTTAATCATGCAGCCTTTAAAAAAAAGTCAAACAAAATTTAAAGGCTAAAACATATTTTTAAAGTATGTAAGTTTGCATAAGCGTATTAACATCTGTTTCTTTTTTTAAAAAAAATGTTTTTATTGATTTCAGAGAGAAGAAGGGAGAGGAGAGAGAGAAAGAAACATCAATGATGAGAGAGAGTCATCTATCGGCTGCCTCCTGCTGCCCCCCACCGGGGATCAAGCCCACAACTCAGGCACATGTCCCTCCCTGGAATCGAACCACGACCTCCTGGGTCATAGGTCGAGCCTAACCGTGGAGCCGGCCAGGCACATCTGTTTCATATGAAAGGTTCATAGTTGATGTCTTAGTGCCATGCAGTGTATCATATTGAACCACGGAATGACAGCAAATAAAGGAAATGTCAGGGTTATCTCGTTGAACATGCTAATTTCACACATGATGAAACAGAGTCCCAAATGGTTTTGATAACTAGCAGGGTGAGAATTTGGGGCAAATTTTCTAGACACTTATTGTCTTACGTAGCAGGTGAGAAGATAAAGTGGGAAGATGGGGAAAGGTATGTGGGACAGGGCTTGTAGAGGCTTGACTTCTCTCCCACCACTGTGTGTGTGTGTGTGTGTGTGTGTGTGTGTGTGAGAGAGAGAGAGAGGGAGGGAGGGAGGGAGTGACTGAGTGTGTGCAGGTGTGTGAGAGTGTATGTACATGAGAATGCTTGAGAAAGTGTGCGAGAGTGTGTATGTGCATGTGAGAGAGTGTGTGAGAGAGTCACTGAGAAAAAAAGTGGTTTGGGTGTGTAGCTGTGTGTGTAATTCCTGGGATTTGGGGGTAAAACCTTTAGTGCTTTCTAATTTCCCCCACTTATTGGATTACAAGAAGAAAACTTGGGGGCAGAAAGAACACTTTTACTCCGGATACAGAGAGCCTTTGGTGCCTAACTTTGTGCAGTGTTAAGGGAGGAAAAGTAGTAGTTTTATCAGAGAAGGTAGGTGTTGGATGACAGTGAATGGGTCTGACATCACGGAGGCAAAGTGAGCCCTACTGTTCTTTCTGGAGCTTCAATGCTGTGGATCTGGGAGAGGGAGTTCTTAGGTGTAAATCTTAGAGAAGAGATCTTGCAGAACTGGAGTAGCTGAATTCCTTTCACAACTGTCTCCTGGAAGCGGGCATAAGCGTATGTAGGCCACTTTTCAAAAACATTCTTAAAGCCACATGCAAAACATTGTTGTGATCTTAAATAGTGGTTATCATTTCTGAATGTTAAATCAATAGGACATGAATTCTTGCTTTACTAAGTACACCAATTTTTAAAACAATTCATTTGAAATCTAAGTATCAGAAAAATGGAATCAGACTTAACTGATTTGGATTCTTTCCTTTCTTTTCCTTCATTCAAGGCCAGCAGGCTTACTTACGTCACAGGGGTGCTGGAAGAAACCAATGGTCAACATATAGTATGTGGAAGACTTAGGCAAATAAAGGGACACACACACACACACACACACACACACACACACACACACACACGCCAGCAGGGCCATTAGTCATTGGCAGTGGTAGCTTCTTCTAATTCTGTGCTCTTTAGAATTGCTTTTGGAGTTGTATTTTGACATTGATGTGATTAGTAAAAACCAAAGTGCTGAGATTTTTCTTGCTAATGTTTACATGTGAGGGCTGATGATGATAAGAAAGCATTTAAATGGGAAAATTGATAGATGCCTATTTGATTTTCTTTTCTAGCTAATTCGTTTTGGTTTAAGTAACCAGCTCGTGGTTGCCTACAAGGAGGAAAACGCCGTTGCTTTTAAGTACTTGTTTTTAAAGGGCTATTCTGGCATAGACGAAGATAACTACAGTCTCAGTGTGTATACTCAACAGGATGCCTACGAGAGCATATTTTACGCTATTAATCAGGCAAGTGTTTGTTGTGAATGACCTGTATTTTAAGAATATATTGATACTTGATCTTGTTGTCTTAGCCAAAAAAAGAAAATTATGCATATATTAAAATATTCTAATTAAAACTTGCGTAGTCTGCCAAAGAATGTTTGTTGCTATTTCTTTAGCTACATTCCCATGCAGCAGATTTTGCATATTTACATTTTTCCTTAAGATTTACATTTTCTATTTATCCCTTCACATCAACTACTTTTGGAAGATTACCCTAGATCAAATGGCCAAGAGCAAGCAGATTTATACTCTCAGAGGGTTTGCTGGATGAGATACCAAACCTGAGATTCTAGGGAGTGTAATATGATATAGTTGGATCTAGGCAGGTGTTTAGAAACCAGATTGGTAGACCTGAAGAAAGCAGTTAGGGGAGAGAAATTGTTATTCTTCCTTTTTCATCCATCCATCCATCCATCCATCCATCCATCCATCCATCCATCCATCCATCCATTCAATAAATATTTGGATACCTAATATGTGCCAGGCACTCTTTTAGACACTGGGGATACAGCATAAATAAAAGACAAAACTTTGTCCTTGTAGAACATAGTTCTAGAGGTGAGACCTAGATAGATGAAAAGAAGTGAACTGTATAGTATTGAATGCTGGTTCCCTGAAAACACCACCAAAAAAAGCATGCTGATGATTAAAAACTGAGGGGCTATCTTGACCATTCTCAGTTGTGCTCTGGGTGAAAGGGGCAAAATCCAGACATAGATTCCAAAGTCTGATTTAAGAGAGAAAGGGTAGGTCTTTCAGTGTGAGGGAGCTTGATTTGAATTAGGTAAAGATCATGATATATAATAGTTTAGGATTGGTGGACAGGCAGGTGAGGGTTGGCGGTGGTTTCAAAGAGTCTTGGGGTTATTAAAGTAAATCTTCAAATTGACCGTTTAAGTGAATTTTGGGGATGTTACTGAAATAAACAGTACAGTTATTTGCAATATTTATGTTCCTGGGCAAACGTTTCTTGGAATAATAAAGTCATATTAATGAAGATGAGGGCTAGCAAAGCCCTGCTAGTGCAGATAGGCAGGGTGAACTAGTGTAGAGCATGTTAATGTAAGCTGTGGGGTGTGGAAGGTTTGGGTCGTCAGTGGTATGTCAGAAAGTGATAGTTGCTGCGGCATAAAGCAGGCACTGGTGGTGCCTGCATGCTGGTGATGGATGTTTGCACTTGTGCAGTACAGGAAGGCCTCGCTGAGGTGCTAACATCTGAGTTAAGAGCTGAAGCAGTGTACCTAGCAGATAGCAAACCTGGAGTCCTAGGCAGAGGGAGCAGCAAAGGCCATGGGCAGGAGTGTGCCTGGGAGCTGCCTGGAGGCCAGTGTGGCTTCAGGAGGTAGGGGGTGGAACCAAGGGTCAATGGCCTGCTCCTAGGTCGGAGAGATGGGCATGACCTGAGCTTGGGCTCGGAGTGAGGTGGGAGGTCTGTCTATTCACTTTAGTTTTGATTTCTGTGAGGTGGTGTGCTTCTGCCCAACCTGAGAAAATGACCTGGTATTTTACACTGGGGAGTTCTGTTGAGGGATATGATATAAACAATAAAAAATAGCTAAAATGTATTTTATAGGGTATAACTTCTGATTAAACTCTTGAAAGCTCATAAGTGTTTATATTTAACTATTTTTAATAGTATCATCGTCTAAAGAAAATCTCCCTGGGAACTCTAAGTTATGGAGAAAATGAAGGGAATAGAATCGGCGTAAAAGTCTGTAAGCAGCATTATAAGAAAGGGACCATGTTTCCTTCTAATGAGACACTGAATATTGACAGTGACATTGAAACAGGTAATGGATCATTTTATTACATACCTCTATCATCTTCTGCGGTAAGAGCAAAAATGCCCTCATATCCTGGCAAGTGGAACAACTTCAACCTTGCTTTACGACTGTTAATCTGTTGTAAGCTGTCACTTTAACACTTGCCTACAGAGGATTTTGGCTCAGGAAACTGCAGGTTTATGGTAATAGACCTGGGAATTTGTGGATCTCTAAGGTGCAACTCAAGGTTATTGGTTTTGGGGTAAATGCCCAGGTGTTTCCTGTGTATTTAGGTTTTTCCCTCCTCCATGAGGGGACGATTAGACTTTCTGGGCGGAAAAAGAGTCTGTATTTATTAAATGAAATAATGTGTGTTAAATGCTTTGTACTTTTTAAAAATATATATATATCTTTGTTGATTTCAGAGAGAGGCAGTGAGAGGGAGAGAGAGAGACAGAAACATCAATGAGAGAGTCATTGATCAGCTGCCTCCTGCAGGCCCCCGCTGGGGGTTAGGCCCACAACCTGGGCATGTGCCCAGACTGGGAATCGAACCTTGATCTCCTGGATCATAGGTTGATGCTCAACTGCTGAGCTACACCAGCCAGGAACTTATTTTTTAACTTATTAAATGTAACTTGTCAAAGAAAATGTTTTGGTGTATCTGTTCAGAATGTATAAAGAATAGTATTAAATACTTGACACTGGATTTTAGCCTTTCTTGGACACATTGGACAAAGCCTACAGATCGTATAAACAGGAAGCAAGTTTGACTTCAGCTGTGTGGCCTTATAGTTTAGTAAGTCACTTAGCATAAGCTGTTCTACATTGCTTATGCGTGCATGTGCGCTCTCTTTCCTACCGAGAGAATCACCTTTCAGTGGGCTAAATGCAGAGACCTGCATGCCCGCTTTCTCTGCAGGTTAATATTTAGTTACGCACCTGTGCAGTTTGAGTTAAGGGTTTCCTTTAATTCATGCTGTGGGCCTATCCCTCCACTCCTACCTTCAGACCTGTGGCTTTACAGTTCAGCCTTACTTGGGGAGTTATAAATCCTGTTTAAAAAAAAATTTTTTTAACATGTAGATAACTCTCATTCTAATATAGTGTTTTGTTTTCTGTAACACGGACTTTAAGTTTCTTGTGTTCTCCTTTCTTAGCATGAGGCATCATGACCATTTCATTGTTTCCCCAGCTTTTTAAAGAACATATATAATCCACTCTCCACTTGTCTCTAAGAGGGTTGCTATTTCACTGGCTGGAGCATTCTGGTCTGTAAATGAGGTTCATTTGAGTGATGAGTCTGCTACTCTAATACCAGTCTGTTCTGTCTGAGGTTTGATGTTTTACTTAGGGCTTTTGCCATCCTTTTAAAATGTCTCAGCCTTAGATTTTGCTGCCACCAGGTTCTTGGTGGCCTCATTAGCAATGACTCTAGCATAATGTCAGCTAGACTTTAGCAAGTTCTGCATGTGTATTTGATAAAGTGTACCCCTATAATGACGATTAGAAAACTTGACTAACCAAATGGGCTTTTATAAGGCAAATTTGACATCAGTGTACTGGTGAAGAGCTCAGGCTCTGGAACTGAGCACATGTGGGTTTAAATTCTGGTTTGCCATCAGCTAGATGTGTGATCTTGAGGAAGTCTCCTGGCCTCTCTGTGCCTTGGTTTGTCCATCTGTAAAACTGCAGCAATAGTACCTATCTCACAAGGTTGCTTTGGGGATTAAACAGGGTGATGCATTAAGTGAGAGAACATACAAAGCTCCTAGCACAGTGTCTACCTAGCACAGGGTAAGTGCCTGATGTATTTTTGCTATTTTTATCATCATCAGTCTTTTCCTGTAGTTTCTTTTGATTAACTGCTCTCACCGTATTAATCAAGATCCAGTCAAGATAACCAACATTAAATTGTTTCTTGACACTAATAGTCTATTTGCTAAAAAAAAAAAAGAAAAAAGAGGTACCCCCTCTGACACCCACTTTTTAAAAAATATTGCACCTGTTGAGTTGTCCATTCAGCTCATGTCCTTGTTCTTGGCCCAGGAAAACTAATTTTCGCAAATTGTGTGTCCCATATATTGGGCCATATTTTTAGTGTCAGCCATATGCCAGGCAATGGGTTAACTACACAACATAGTATGCTCTAGCTCTCAAAGATCTTATCCTCTAGTTGAGAGGATAGATAAGCAAATTGAGGATTGCAATTGTGGGAGAAAACTCTTAAAGAATTAGCCGTCGAGTCTATCAAGATTCTGGAGTACCTGCTTAGAACCAGGCCCTGGTGGTCCCATTTTAAAGGCAGCCACAGCCTGAGTAAGAGTCAGCTAGGCTGACTTCACAGCAGTCCTGTCTGTGAGGGCTCCGCCACCTTGAAAGGCCTTTACCAGCTCTAGGCCTCCTCGAGTTCCTGCCAAGGTGCTGGGCTACACAATAATGAATTTTTATGGGAGGCACTTGGAATCATTCTTTTATAGTTTACAGCTCATACTATGGTTTTATTTGAATACAACCTAAGTTCCTTTCCTTTCTCTTTATTTTTTATTTTGAAAAAAATACCAGGCAACCCAGAAAAGTTGTAAAATAGCACAAAGATTTCCTTGTATCCCTTTCATCTAGATTTCCCAGATGCTAACATTTTACCACATTTGCTTTCTCATTCTTGCTATGTTTAAATATTCCTCCTGAAATGTATGAGGATAAGAGGCTGACATGATGTCTCTACCTGTAAACACTCCAGTGTGTGTTTCCCAAGAACGATCTTCCACATCACCACTGCGCAGTGCTCAGCAGCGCAAATACACAGTGGCCCAGCACTGTCATCTACAAACCCCGTTCACATTTTGTCAATTGTCCTCATGTTCTCTATAGCAAAAGAGAGGCTTCTCCCACCTCAACCTTCTTGGTCCGGGCTCACATACTGCATTTAGTTGTTGTGCCTCTTTAGTCTCCTTTAAGCTGGAGCAAAATAGTTCCTTGGTTTGTTGTTGTTCTTATGACCTTGACATTTTAAAAAAAGTATATTTTTATTTATTTTAGAGAGAGAAGAAGGGAGAGTGAGAGAGAGAGATACATTGATGTGAGAAATGTTTGCCTCCCGGGGATCGAACTGCAACCTGGGCATGTGCCCTGACAGGTCATTGAACCTGCGACCTTTCGGTGCATGGGAACTGAGCCACACTGGCCAGGGCTGACCTTGATATTTTTAAAGAGTAAAATGTTCCTCAGTTTGGGTTTTTCTGTTTCTTTATGACTAGATTGGGGTTGTGCGTTTTAGTGGGAATTCCACTCAAACAGTACGTTATTTCAGGAGGTATATGATGTCTCTTTATCTCATTACTGGTGATGTTAACTTTTATCACTGGGCAGGGTGCTGCTATCTGCCAGCTTCTCCACTGTCAAGTTACCAGTCTTCCTGTTGTAATTCCTAAGTATTTTGTGGGGAGATGCTTTGGAAGTGTCCAGCTCCTCATCGCCCTTCGGCTCACTGGTTTAGCATCTGATTCTTGCCTGAAACAATTGTTGTTCTTCGTTGGTCTAGACTGTATTCACTTAGACCTCCAGGCCCTCTCCAAGGACCCCGAGGACTGGAAGAACTCACCATTCTTCAGACTGGAATTTTATAGGTAAATAAGTTTTTTTAAGTTTCATTCCCCAGGAGACAGGAATGAGGAAAGAAGAGCGGATAGTAAGACTCTGACAATTTATACCTTGTACTGTATTTTGTTCAGGCTCTTACAAGTTGAAATCTCCTTTCACCTCAAAGGCATTGACCTGCAGACAATGCTTTCCCGAGAGTTGCCAGACTGTTACGTCTTTCAGAATACGGCAAGTGTCCATTTACTCAGCCACTTTTCACTATGTTTCTGTCCTCCTTGTGTAGATGCAGAGTATAAAACACACCAGCCTGTAGACGTGTCAGGTGCAGCTGTGTCTGAAACAGTTGAATGGCACTATAGCATTGTGGATCCAGACACCATTACTTATGAAAATGACACAAAGCCCTTTGCAATTTCTTAAAGACTAAATTTCTACATTGAAAAGAGAAGTTTTCAAAATTGGCTTTCACCTCTTACTCTTCTAATACATTTTTAAAAAGTTTATGACGAGTGTTTTAAGTGTTTATAATATTTTTCCCACTTATAAAGGGAGGTCTTTGTAAATGTAGCAAATGCTTTCAAACCTCCGGGACCTGAGAACTGAAAGCCATTCTGCAAAGGATCGGGTGTTGCTCCTTTTATTTTGGGAGGAGGTGTGAGCAGTAGAAGAGACTGTTCGGTTTCATGGGGAGAATAACCTGTCTTCTCATTTGCATGGAATTTCATGCTCCACCTCCCTCCCTCTCTCCTTTTCTCCTTCCTTCATATTTGTGGAAGAACAAAACTGATGCTGAGCTGAAAGTTGTATACAATTGTGTTTTAGCAACACAGAAGAGTGCTTTATCCAACAGCCAGTAAATACTAACGAGTCCCTGCTACTCACCAGACACAGCCATGCTCTGGAGGTGCTGTGGAAACTTACAGCTTAGTGGAAGAGATAGAAAAACAAGTAAACCAAGAAATAAAAATAATTATTAATTGTGACTTGTGGTAAGGAAGAGAGGAACATGATTAACTGCCCTGGTGTGACCTACACATTACACAACACATGATGAAATTAAGAAAATTCACAGGCAAAGAACTTGAGAGCTGAAAGTGTAGCTGACCTATGAGTAAACCCACAAGCATTGGGCAATTCCGAACACAAGTCACACTCTGTGTAACTCAAGAATATCACTATGACCAAACCAGAGGTTTGAGAATTCAACCCACAGGCCTCATTTCTATAGCTCTGAACTATGACTAAACCTCCACTAACCTTGGCACTCAAGGTCTCATTCCCTGCCCCCAAGAAAACCCCTAAATAACTCTCTTAAGGCCTAAAATACCCAGCATATTTCACTTACAAATTGTAAGTGATGGAAGCGTAATGTGGAAGATATGGGGCATTGGAAATCTTAAGTTCAGCCCGCAGCCTTGGAGCATTCTTTGCCATTTCTGAAAGCATTACATGTAGCACTTAAGGTAAATAGAAAAATAATCTCCAACCTAGTAGAAACCTAGAATTTCATACCCAAAGGACTAAATTGAAGCAAATGCTTTTAAAATTCCATTCAGTGTAATCAATGAGGTCACTGTGTTCTCTTGTCAAAGACTGGTGAGTCTCGTGTTTGTTCCTGGGACTAGTTCGCTGTTTTGCTTTGGGATTTCTCCGAACCTGCTTGGGGATTTAGTAGAGCTTCATACATTCAGCTTTTGGACCATATTTTTTCATTAATGAAAGTTGTGAAGGAATCATGTGATGAGGACATTTTCATTAGTACACTGTTTGGATCAGCATGCTGTTTGGATGCCATTAAAATTTAAGCAGAGTCTATCTAACAAGGCATGCTTTCTGCTCTCCATACATTTGTCTCCAGATTACCTTCGACAACAAAGCTCACAGTGGCAAAATCAAAATCTATTTTGACAGTGATGCTAACATTGAAGAATGCAAAGACTTAAGCATATCTGGATCTGGTAAGTATGTTGCATGCTTCCCCATTGGATGATTTTTAGCATTTTATTTTGGGATTCAGATGTTTACATGGTTGATTTGGATGGTGATAGGAAGAAAGGGCTCCAGAAAACCACATCTTGAGTATCTTATTCTGTAAAGCACAGCCAAAAGCTTTACATTTTTGTCCAATTCTGCAAATATTAATTACACACCTCTTAGGAGAGGTAGTATGGCTGGTGGTTAGGGGTACAGCTTTGGCAGCCACATTGCCTGGGTTTGAGTCTTGGTTCTGTTTACTATGTCTGTGATCTTGGACAAATTATTTAGCTTCTCTATGTCTGAGTATATTTCTCTTCAAAATGAGGGCAGTAATAGTACTTACCTGCCGGTGTGTTGTGTATTAAATGACTTAGAATGTAAAGCAAAGCACTGAGAATAAGAGTTGGTACAAAGTAATTGCTAGGCACTCTGGAAAAGAAAGGAAACACCTTAGTGAGGGAAACAGACATGCTTATAAAATCTCCAGCGTGTCACATATAGCAATAAGTGGTGGAGGACAGCAGCCATGAGGGTAAAGAAAAAAAAAAGGTTAATTTTGACTGGGGCAGAGTGAGAAATAAAATCTAGCAATGGTTCTTGGAGGAGGTATGCTTTGATCTGAGCCTTTGACAATGGAGAGGGATCGAGGCCTTCAGAGCCCAGAGAGCAACCTGTACAAACACAGGGTCGTTTACTCAGTCATGACTCAGAAAACACCTCTTGATCCATTGTTTAAATTGGGCTACACAGGGCCTGTTCTCCCTGAGAGTTCAAATGATGTTAATGATGGATGGTCAGTATTTTTTAATTTATAAGTTTTGTTTAACTGAATTTGCTGTTGACCAGATTACCAGAACAAAATAAAATGTAAAATACCCGTGGTTCCTAACTAGAATATGTCAGTTTTAAAATAGATTCAATTTATGGCCTCTTGCTTCGATGATATGCCCTGGTGATTTTGAAGTTTTGGTTTCGAAGTTCCGCTAACTCACTTAAGCCTCTGAATAGAATATGTGGTTTTAGTTTCTGTTTAAAGGTGGTTACTATTCTTTAGCAGACACTCTCTTCCACAGAAATGCACAGATCAGATGCATATTTTCCAAGTCCAAGTGCAGGTTGGAGCTATTTTAAGTGAAAAAAGCTAACCTTTGCTGCATCTGAAATATGGTTTGGAATAGTCATTATGACCAAATGAGTTTGTCAGTCAAACATATTGGCAGAACATGGTTTCCTTCCTCCCCACAGGGCTCCTTAGAACATTGGGGAGTTTTCCTTGCCTATACTCAGGAGAAAGGAGGTCTGAACTTCTTCAGCTTTTTTTTGTCTGGGAAGTGCTTTATATGTCCTTCGATTCTAAATGATAGTTTTTCTGGGTAGAGTAATCTTGGTTGTAGGTCCTTGCTTTTTATCACTTTGAATATTTCTTGCCATTCCCTTCTGGCCTGAAATGTTTCTTTTGAAAAATCTTCTGACAGCCTTATGGGAGCTCCCTTGTAGGTAACTAACTGCTTATTTCTTGCTGCTTTTAAGATTCTCTCTTTGTCTTTAACCTTTTGCATTTTAATTATGATGTGCCTTGGTGTGGGCCTCTTTGGGTTCATTTTGTTTAGGACTCTCTGTGCTTCCTAAACTTGTAAATTTTCTGTTATTATTTTTTCAAATAGGTTTTCCATTTTTTGCCCTCTCTCTTCTTCTGAACCCCCATGATGTGAATATTGGTATGCATAAAGTTGTCCCAGAGGCTCCTTACACTATACTCATATTTTTGGATTCTTTTTTTCTTTCTGCTGTTCTGATTGGGTACTTTTTGCTTCCTCATATTCCAAATTACTTTTTTGAGTCTTAACTTCATCTCTTCTACTGATAATTCCCTGTAAATTATTCTTGATTTCAGTTAGTGTATCCTTTATTTCTGGCTCTTTCTTACTTATGGTTTCCATGTCCTTTTGTATCACCACCAAACCAGTATTACATGACATGTTAAAGGGTCTTGAAGAAGAAGAAAAGATTAAAAATATGAACAATAAAATCACAATAAATACATATCTATCAACAATTGAATCTAATAAAACAAAATAAATGAACAAGCAGAACAGGAATAGATTCATAGATGCAGAGAATGTTTTGATGGTTGCCAGATGGGAAGGAGTTTGGGAGGATGGGTGAAAAAGAGGAAGGGATTAAGAAGTACAAACTGGTCATTACAAAATAGCCTTGGGGTTGTAAAGTACAGCATAGGGAATATAGTCAATAATATTGTAATACTATGTATGGTTTCAGATGGATGTGAGATTATCAGGATGATCACTTAGTAAGTTATAAAATGTAAGTTATAACTGAGTAAGTTATCAATAAAATCACTGCAGTTTACACTTAAAACTAATATAATATTGTATGTCAACTATAATTGAAAAATAAGATGATTTTTTAAAAAAATGTAAAAAAAGAAGAAAGGAGGTTTGGCTCCCTCCTGTGGCCAGTGAGGAGAATCACTAACATTTTTATAGGCTTTCAGAGCTTTATCCTAAGAAACCAGATTTTGTCACTAGGAAAATGTGAATTTAAAATAAAATGATGTAAAAAATAATAAAAATAAAATAAAATGATGTGATGATGTGAAAAACTTAAAAAGCTGAACTTTGGAAACAAGCTTAGGAAATGGAGCCCCCCTCTCCTCCATCTGGTGGATTGATTGCCCTGGCTTTGGGGAAGTGGAGAGACAGGAAACGCGACAAAGGCAAGGGTAACGTGATCCTTGCACCCTTTCCAAAAAGTTCTGAGTTCATTCACATTCATACACTTACCCTTTCTTCATTACCTATGTTATCACAAGGCGAAATATGAAGGTGTGTTCATTTCACCTACAAACCAAATGCTTCTTTGCCTTCTAATATTCATCCCCAAGTGTGCCACCAATCTTCCCTTTAACTTGATTTTATGATTGTAGCAATTTGGGCATGAGGAGGTATTGGTGGGCAGCACTCCCCACTGGTGGGTGATGTAATGGTGTCACAGGGAAAGGGAGCTTAGTGACTGTGGGAGGCCCTGGGTTAGAGCCACACGAGTGGGCAGTGGTGGTGTGGGGGGGACCTCTCAGGGCCTCTGAAAGGACTGGGTGGTCTAGACAACTTCTCTAACCAGGTTGGCAGAGGCATCTCTCTGGACTAGTGTTTTACAAGCCCAGGCTTGGGAAATGTTCCCATAGGGGTAACAGTTTCAGTGGAGTAAGAAAGCAACTACAACGTTCGTAAAATATTTTTTGCAGCACACCAAACTATTCTTCCTAATAAATCAAATTAAAACAATTCAATCCTTGTTTCTCTGTTAGGAAGGATGGTTTATCTTTCTAGGTCTGGGCCTCAGTTTTCCCACCACAGGTAAACGTAGAGATTTGTTCTAGTTATGTGTTAGAAAGGAAGGCACTAGATGTTGTCCTTGCATTTTATAAGATCTCCGGTCTCATTTTCCCAAGAACTGCCTCTGTTCCCTCTGCCTCATTCCGTGGGTCCAAAAGGGAAAAAGGTCTTGGTTTCTAGTAGAGTTAAGTTGCTTTCTTACCTAAACATCTGAAGTATGAAATGGCTAAAGGTAAATGTCAGTGCTAGGTGTGAGGCTCGGCTCTAACAAGCTGGTTTTACCTGGTTTCCTGGCAGCCCGTGAAGCAGGCAGAGTTGCTTCCCCTACTTTGTAGCTGAGGCACCTGGAGCTTCGAGAGGCTAAATAATTCACTCAGTGAATGGCATTTATCAGCTGGCTGTGGTCATACCCCACTGGGTGAGCAGCTTTGCTCTCAGACACTCATACTATTGTTGCTCACTCCCTTGTTATTAGTAAATCTGTGGACACTCCGATCTGTCTCTTAAATGCTTCTCTGCAGAGGTGTCTCTGAGGAGCACTCCGACGAGACTTCTCCAGTCCCCAGTCCTGTTTCCTTCCCTTCTGGCCTTTCTTCATCTCCTTCCCGAGCTCATTTCCTCTTCTGATTCTCAAACATTACTCCCTGCCCCACCATCCACTTTTCTGTCTGTGGTCTCTCCGAGTGTCTGTGTCCACACCCTCCCTCGGCTTTAGCTGCCACCGAGTCATCCTCTCTTGTCATGAACATCCAGACTGAGCTCAGTTTACCAAAGACAGAAAACCAGGAGTCATCCCTGGTTGGTCCCCCTTCCTTGTTCCCTGAGTCCCAGTGGAGACCAGGTGGCCTCCTCCGCTTCATCTCTTGCCACTTTGTGCCTTTGCCTTCCATGCCTCCTCTCCCTCTAACCTAGCTCAACCTCCACAAGTCCTAACTTAGATTATTCAGTGCTCTTCTCGTGTTCTGCTGGAGTGTCTCTCTGATTTACTTGTAAGCATGCTGAAGCATTATGCTAAGCAAAGGCACTGTGGTATTGACAAAATACATATGGTTCCTGCCTCCCAGAGCCAATCATTCGACGGGAAAGATGGACATTGAATGATTCCATAGTAACCACTATGAGTGTTTGCCATCGTTATTTACCTGGGGTTGTTTCATGGGCTTTCATATATGAGTTTATTTAATCCTCACAACAGCCCTGTGGTTTAGGTATTTTTTATTCTACTCATTTTTTGCATGAGGAAACTGAGTCACTTTCCCCAAGGCTGCTCAGCTTCTGAGTGCAGAGCTGAGATTCAGACCCAGGTTTTCAGGCCCCAGAGGCCATGTCCTTTCCCATGTTACACTGTCTCTGTTCCTTGCTGTGCTCTCTTTGAAGATTCAAGTTCAAGTTCAGTGATCATCAAGCGAAGGAGAGTTCAGAGGAGCTACAGGTGTGTACAGTTATGGAGAGTGCTATGAAAGAGTAGGGGAGGGGCTAATAAAGATGGGAATTTAGGGAGTTTCCTTCTGAGAGGAAGACACTCACTCTGAAACCTAAGGCTGAAAAAGAATAATCTACGTGTGTGTGATGGAGAGGGTGCTGTTCCACGCAGAGGGATCAGCATGTGCAAAGCCCCTGAGGAAAGAGAGAGAGAACCTGGTAGGAGCTGGGAAGGAGGAAGACGACTGTGGCCTCAGGGTAGAGAAGATGGGGGGAGAGAAGCGATTGGCAGGTGATGAGACTGCAGGGCTGGGCAGGGGGCCAGGCAGGGGAGAGCCATCATTGAGATTTCGGACAATTCCATGAAGCCTGAGAGAAGCTACGGTTACAATTTCATCTTCCTACAGTACCTTCCCCCCTGCAACTGTGTCCCAAGACATAAATCTGATTACTATGCTCCTTCTTACTGCCATTCCAAGAGGTTATTTTCTCCATGTGCAGAAAGAGCATATTGAATGGCACTCTTGGCTGGGAAAGTGCACAGTAAGGTTGAGAAGCAGAAATGGGGATTGTGAGTTGGAGGTATTTTGAATTATTTGTTCCTTCATTCACAGAGAACTTGATGTTTGTGTTTTTGTGTGAAATAGTGCAGAGTATGTCAGTAGTTTCACCTCTTTTGAATGAAGTCCAAATGGACCACCTTCTGTCAGATTCTATTCTGTAGTAAATATTTACAAATACATTTTAGTACATTTCTTAAGAGTTTATATGTTTTTAAATGTATGACTTTTAACATCAGGGGATGTTCTACCCTATCTATAGGCTTCTGAGTGAGTGCATTGTGATTTGTTCCTGATGTTTAAGAACTCATCATTTGAACTTCTTTTTCAACTGCCATCTTGTTCAGAAATTATTCCCAAGTGAGGTGTGTTTAACGTTTGGATTCTGTTCTTGTTCCTCAGTTCAGAAAAATACTCAGTATGTGCTGGTGTTCGATGCATTTGTCATTGTGATTTGCTTGGCATCTCTGGTTCTGTGCAAAAGATCAATTGTTCTTGCTCTACGTTTACGAAAGGTACGTGTGTGCTCGAAGTTTCTCCCTCCCTTCCTGGCCTCCGCCCTTGGTTTGTCCAAACAGTGTTCCCTGGTGTTGGGTCATCCTGCCCTGTCTGCAGCCCTTTCAGTGATTGTCCCCCAAAAGGCATTAATCAGCCTGAAGTGCGTAGGGTGAGTACAAGCTCCCACCACTTCGGGTGGGATCAGGTAATTATTCTGCTTAGAACTGAGCTAAGAAGCACAGGTGCACAGCGGTGAGCTCTCACGCCTTTGCATGTTTGCAGAATAAGTGAGACCCTTTTGAATTCAGGAGTAATCTTAGGATCAGAATAATAGTCATGTGGGTTTCATTGTTTGTCTTCAAATCAGAGTTCATTTGGACAGGGGGGCGCATGATAAATGGGTTATAATGAAGCATAAAACACTTTATTCTGTTTTTAAAAATAGTTTGAAAATTCTCCCCTCAGTTTCATTTTACCTTTTTACTCTCAGGGCGCGTGTGTGTGTGTGTGTGTGTGTGTATACACAATATATATGTATACACACACATATATGTATATTCCAGCTCCCCACAAATTCTTACTCTGGTTTGTGCATGTGTGGAAATGCAGACTGGGGTCAAGTGCACACAGTCATCAGAACACCATTGGTGGAGCAAGAAAACAGTCTACATTCTATTTTTCTTATTATTCACCGTTGTCAACTTAGTTTGTAAATATCCGCTTCTCTTA